CTAGTGCGTTTGAAGTAGTTGGGGGGAAGGGGTCCTAGATGATATAATCACATCTCCGATTCACCTCGAGGCAACCGAGCTACAAAGGTCTGACGGTTCAGCTCTAGCACAGCCCCAACTCATTGGATCGGATCCATCACTTCAAGGCAATTGAGTTTCAGAGGACGGTTCAGGTCTAGTGCAACCCTAGCTCGGTTGGGCTAAATTTGTCATATTGGAGGTGACCGAGCTTCTTATCTTGGTCAAACACAGATCGACCATGTCGGTCTTGCTTGCGAACCTAAAGGTTCAGGTTGAGGACTGAAGACAGTCACATACCGGACGAGCGGATGTCCTTCAAAAACATTAGTGGAACTGGGCTGAAGGAAACATGCAGGGAAAGAGACCTAAGAAGAAAAAAAAAAGATCTTTGTGTGAACAAGATTATATATGAATGAATCATGGGCAACAATGCATAGATTTCTTGGGCAACAAGGTAAAACATACTATATAAGGGTGGAAGTATGACTAATCATCCTATATAGGGGTGGAAGTATGACTGTAGATTTTTTCCTCTCCTTCGTGACGTTTTGATTATTAATCATTGACATGCGTCATATTTACGTGTATTTTATAGAGATTTCCGTGTCCGTTTCGTCGTAGTTTAATATATAATTAGTGATTATGTAATTAATTATTATATAATTAATAATTAATTTTATTAAACTATGATGAAGTGTTTTATTTGAGTTTTGATAGGAAATTGAGTCTGAATAATTATTGGAGGTCAGAATGACGAGAATCAATTCGTTACGTGCCGATTTGATAAATTGCTTCTTGGTCCACGAAATTACAAGAGAGATTGAGGTGGTCATGCAATCAAGGAGTTTGATCCTATTTCATAAGGCTGCAAATATTTTGGGATATGGGCTGGCCCAAGAAGAAACTAATATAACTACAAGTTGAGTTGGCCCAAAGGATATTTTAACTAAGGGCGAAATGGACATTTCTTAGGCAACTAATCATCTTCTTCTTCATGAGTCACGCTACACACATGTATGTCCGCCATGAAAGAGCTCGGAGCTTCGCAGCTCGTCCACCACCGCGCCGCCACACGTCACAGGACCACCACGTCGCCACCTATCCGACCGCCATCACCATCACTACGCCGGAGAATCCGTGTGAAGATCGAGTTACCGTCGGAGAAGAAGCTCGCGACCAGAGCTCACATGACCGGCGCACCACCTGGACGCATTTACGACCACCGAGAGTCAACTGGTATGCCTGAGAACGAATCAGGAGCAGAAGTCCGCCACGAGCCGCAGCAAAATTTGAGTTTTGGACGCACAGGTTCACACGGTCGTGTGACGTCGAGACACGATCGTGTCGCGCAGAACAGATTTGATGCGAGCTCTCGGCATTGTCACACGACTCGGGTGTCGTATGACACGAGTCGTGTGACCCTGGGCGCGACCAATACGGTTTTTACGCGTTTTCTCCTATTTTTTGGGATTTTCGACCTATTTCGACTAGGACTCGACCACATCTATTTAAGAGACACTTAGACACGTTTTTGAGGGGGGGAGAACCTAATTTTCAGATCTTTAGAGACTTTTGGAGGCGAGAAACACGAGCAAGACGAGGGAGAAAGCTCGGGAAGAAGGGATCGACGGAGCCGAATAAGCTTTTTCGTTCTTTTTCTTTTCTCTTTTCGAACTCAATGTTTTATATTTATTTTGAAAGCATGTTTCTAGGCTAATTTATTTTAGATTTTAGGATTTGTTAGTACTCGGATTGATTTATGATTTAGTTTTTATTTATTTCATTCC